CAAAATTATCGTGAACTGTGCCATTAATTGTTTTGCCATACCAGCAAAGGTGGTAGAAAGAACTTTTTATAGTTGGCCTAATACATTACAGTAATAATTTTATGACTTTTATATTTCAATTATTTCTCGATAATGGAACGCTTCATGGTTCATATATCAAAAATACTAAATATAATACTGTAGATGCTGACTTTTCCAAAGAGAGAACTTGAAGTCTCTAGACCTTGTTTTAATACTTTCATTTTTTCCGCTCCATGAAATTTCTAGTTTCGCTGTTACTAACGGTTGAATCATCTATCGTCCTTTCTTGACCGCCAGTGAAGTCTCCATTCGTCCTTGTCGCGATCCAGTACGGTAGTACAGTGCAAGCTTCTCGCTCTGAGAACTTGTACCTAACGTACTCTTCCTCACGTTCAGAGCCCTTGTGAAGAAGTCAGACCAACAGTCGTAGTGGTGCTCATTCGACGTCTTGAAAAAGCCAGTCGCACAACACCTGGTCCAACGGTCATCACCGAATTGCATGACGTGCCAGTACCATCTCTTCTTCGATTCTTTGGCGTGAGCAACGACGCCCCCAATTCGTTCGCTGTCAAAACTCGGAAATCTAGATCTCCTTCTGCAGTTGCGTGTATCCTTGGAAACTTCTGGCATTGTTCTTTTCACGACTGGATGACGTCAACTCCGTGCTCTTTTTGCTTGCTCAGAGTCTGAGCTAAATTAATCTCTGAGGGGTACGTGAAGGCAAGAAGGACATGGAGTCATACATATAGAAAGGAAAGTATACAACGAACGGGTAAATAAGTTTCTATCATTTCTATATTTCCGATTTTTTAAAAGATTCATTTCAAGGTTTTGAATAAGGACTGCTGATTTATAGGTAATAACAGCACCAAAGCATAACGTACCAGGTAAACTCTTTGCGGCCTGCTGCTACACCGCAGTTTTCAATCTTCTTGACTTTGCAGCAGGTAAGGCACATGATACTTATGAAATCCTTTAGTTGAGATCGTTACTTTTATTTATTTTTTTTCAAGGAGTCGTTAAAGTAACAGAAACGACCGCAGAAGATGACCAAAAGCTGCGTGAGGAGTACCCGGAAACAGATCCGTGGTATCGAACGGCCAAAGAAGCTTGCAAGGTTTGTAGTACTGATTATTATTTGATGGATTTGGTATTCTTGACATTCATAAAACGCTCACGTTGAACTACTCATTTTTGAGGGAAGCCCAATTCTCTGGCGTTGATCGGTAGTGCCG